GGGCCTACGGTTTATAGTCCTTATCCGAGAAGACTTGTTCTACCATCAGAACCATAGGCGAGCGTGCCGTTCGAACCAGCGCCGATATTATGGCTATAGCTATATATAGCTATTCAGGGGTTCTTCTGGGAACTTGGAAAATTCAATGGGCGGTTTTTTAATGAAATTATATAAGGACATCCAAAAGCAGCAGATGCAATTAGTGGTGGTGGTGGTGGTGGTGGTGATGGTGTATAAGGTTGTTGTAAGGCCATCTGGATCTGCCGATTGAGATTAGTACGATCATTGCAGGGCTTCTTGCAAACTCACATGAAAACGTGCTAAAGGTGCCCATTATCGACCTGGAAAAGAAAAGAAGATGTAGAAAAATTAAGAAGAGGAAGTTGGAAAGATACAGTCCAGGGAGCTCTCATCTGTGCAGGATCAGGATAAATATCCTAACACTACTAATAAACACAAAAATAAATTTTTTTAAAAACCAAAAAGCATAGGAATATAATAAATCGAAATTTATTAAATAAAAACAGTTAATAACCGATATCAAAAATAATATTTCAAACAACATGCAATACAGGGTCCTAGTTTCTAATTAGTGACAAAATGAACAGGACCATGGTTTAAAGACAACATCATGCAAGATAAGTGAATTATTGTACAGGAAGTTAAAAAATAGTAACCACAAGCCATTTCTTTGTATCTTGAGTTAAACTATTATATATTTACCAGTTATACTGTATTGACGCATTTTAAAAAGGGGCTAAAACCCCTTGCTTGCCTCTACATTTGCCAGCGGAGAGATGACGTCGAATAACCTCCTTTAATTTTCGTCTTTCAATCAAATCAAGATTCGTTAAATCATTTGTAAAAAGTGGAGCTTCCGAGAGTTTATATTCTGCTTTTTCATATCAAACAGTTTATCTTGATAAACTGCCCATTTTTACACCTTTTTCCCCCAGTTTTTAAATATTCAAAAATCTGTATCTCATTCAACGTTGCTCAGTTTTTCGTCAAACAACATTTTTCTGTCTCAGAAAAATCAGTTCTACAACATATCAAATTTTTTTTTTCCTCCGGAGCCTGACTTTAAAGTAGGACTTTTAATGATGATAGGCTCTAGGCTAGGTCTAAAGTGTGGGCTAGCCAGCCTTTGTTGAAAGGGCGCTTCATGAAAGAGGGGGGTTCGTTGGAACCCAAACTTGCTTGGTATTGGGCTATCACATAGGCCTATGGGTACTATAAGGCATGAGACATTTGGGGATATATTTTTTTAAATATCGTCAGTCCAGATATCTTTGCACATTGGGGCCCATGAGGCTGAAGTAGAGAAATAGGAAATACCTGTAGTGTAAAGTAAAGGACTATAAATTAGGGCTTTGGTCACTCAATTATTAAAGCAAAAGTTCTTTTAAATAATCATTTTCTTAAAAAAAGTAATTCAATGGCAAGCACTTCAACAACAGGACACACAGTTCACCAACATATGCTGTGCATGCATAGGTGTACCATGGAGGTATAAAAATATTTTTATACCTCCATGGGTGTACAATCTTCAGCCATGGTCCAATGTTACTCAGCTCGAATTACTGAAATCGAATTGGGCTAGGTCACTTCAAGACCAAGAATGCTGGTGGTGAATTTTTATCAGTTAATTGGTACAGTTTCAGCTCTTGATAATAGGCGGTTTAAACATGTAGACTTGGAAGTATTTCAGCAGTATCAAGGGGTAAGAGTTTTGTTTTAATTATCGCAGTCAAGAAAACCTTAGACAATGGCGGCTAGACATTTTCTTTGCTATCAACCTTCTTTAAGAAAGAAAATTCAGGGTAGGCGGGGATGCAAATGAATCATATATTCATAGTGTTAATCTATTTCATAGAACAGGCGGGGAAAATGTTGTTAAAGCCTCTGTTTGTCGATCCCAAAGGAAGAGGGAAAAGCCGAATTCAATCAACCTCGTTGTCGGCAAAGGCCAAGTCGATGTGCACTGCTCGTGTAAGTCTGCGTATCTATAACCAAGCACAGACATCCAGAGGTGACGGAACGAGGGGGTGCTGTGTTATGGAGAGTAATGTGTGACCGGAAATGGTCTGCAGTCAGTTGGTTGTTACCATGCGCCAGTGATGTTGGAGTATATAGTACAGCAATATGAAACTATTATGTAGTCCTAATGAATGAATAAATTTCGGAGTTTGTCGGGTAGTGAAATGATTATTTCACATTTTAAGTGCTCCCTAAATTCATAAGTGTAAGCTAAATTACGATGATTAATTTAATTAGCGAAGATATGGAGACAATTATTTCGAATCCCTCTTTCCAAGAGGGGATACATATGCTTTGTGAAAATGAGTACGCCGCGGTACTCATTTTCACAAAGAAATACACACAACTGGTTAGCTAACAGTTATGTCAATGTTACATGAACACCTGGGAAGGAAGGTGCAATCCCGTTGTTACCTAGCAAACGTCTGTACTGTATGGGGGAGGGGGTCCTGATGTACTGTGTAGCGGGGGACGATGAGGCATAAGACTAGGCCTAGGCCTAACTAAGACAGTGGAATTATATGTGATAGAAAGTACACTTTCGGAAGAAATAAATTAAAATAAGAAAAAAAAAAAACTAAGGATAATTAAGTTACAGATGTAACTTGTTTAAGTATTATACCTGTCTCTTATAGCCAGACACCAAGTAAGCTGGATGTTAACGGTTTTATTCTATACAAAGTGTGAGCCTCCAACAAGACGCAGCTTGGCTAGTCGACGAACCCCCACGAGCGAGCGAGACTCCGCGGGAACATCCCATAAGAGTCCTTGAAAGTTCAAAGGTTACAGTATCTTATTTAAGTATTATACAATGCATCTAACAATGCGGCTCCTGTAGCCCTGGCTTGGGCAAGGCATCCATGTGCAAAGCAGTGTTTGTTTATCAATGAAAAAAGCACGCCGGGAAAGTTTGCCTTACCAGGAAAAGGTGACGTATCTAGCTTATGACGTATGCATGCTAACTAACGTGAGTGTGACGTCACCAAAAAATGAATATTTTCTATTATAACCAAAATATTAATAACTACAAAGTTTCTGGGCGTGAATTCCCTTAATATGAATGAAGGGTTGCTCAATCTCCTTGCCATACAAATTAAAGCTCCTACTGACGTCTCAGTCGAGAAATACGGGTAGCTGAATTTTTTCTCGCAAATCTGACTACAAAACCATATCCAAATTTCACGTTCCATTTTTGAGCCTGAGTTGTGCTTCGCACTCGCCGCTGAGGGCGGCGTTCCGGGAACCCTGCGTCTAGGCCCGCGTGCGATTTTTTTTCCCGTACGAAACATTTACATGAAACTCCACTCGGGCCGTCTCGGCTGAATCCACCCGAAAATCTCATTGCAGAATTCAGGAGGTCAAAAGGTCATCAACAGATAAACGTCTACAGAAAAACTTCTGAG